GCCTCCCAAGTGCCGGGATTACAGGCATGCACCACCATGCCCAGTTCAAAGTGGTGATTTTTCTAACTGTGTCACTTGTTAACGTGTTTATTGTTTGGAATTCTACTCTAGGGAAGCATTTCCCCTTCAATATATTTTTGTCAGTATGGGGTCATAGATTTGTTTTGGGGGTTTTTTGTTTCCTTTTGTTTGCATTTTTATATACATTTTAGATATACATAATAATAACATTCATCATAGAGAATTTGTACCTGCTCATGCTATATCTTATTCTTATTTTCCCATTCCCCTTGAGGCTTTTTATTCAGTGAGTTATGATTTGTTAGTATCTATTTTGATATTTCTTTAGTTCAGGATTTAGCAATTTGGAGATACTTAAAGTATCACTTTGATAGGTATCCAGCATGTCTTGAAGTACTTCCTTATGTCACAGAAGGTAATGTGTTTCAGGCTCATCTTGTACTTTTCCTCCTCCAGACCTACCTACAGTTAATCATTTCTCTAACATTTCTTAGATATCTCATGGAGAATGGTAACTAGAAACCAAGATGTAGAAGTTAAGTGGTGCATTGGAATAGCAACACTTACGGGGCTGCTCAGTGGAACAGAATAGAAATATACCTATTTCATGTGTATATAAATATATACAGATATATCTATGTTTCTGCATCTGTGTGTATATGTATGTGGCTACACATGTGCCTCATCATGAGTTTATTGTACTTGATTCTTCCTTTCTAAAACCATAAAGTTCATTCTAGTTTTCCTCCCTTCCATATTTATAACTTTTTTCTCCAACAATGAAAACTTGAACCTCTATTGCTTACAGGATATTTGTTCAATCCTGGATTACACAAAAAGTAGTTTCAAGATTGTTAATCCTGCTAGTACAAAATAAAAACCCTTCTTTCTTTTTTTTTCCTTCTCTCTCTTTCTCTCTTTTTTAATTTTGAAAGTAGTAAAATACAACAGAACAAGACAGAATAAAGCCAACTGAGACCATGTAGTGAAATTTACAGCAGGTTACCGAGATAACAGTAACAAGTATCACAGTATATTTTGTTATCTTTACAATAGTTGTTCTTTCAATCACATATATCAAAATAAGATGAAATACAGAACATTATAGAACTTATCAAAACAGAATATTGAATAGAGCAGTACCATTAATCAGAATAGAGCAAAACAATAATAAAAATATTTGCCTTCAAAGAGATGGCAGAAGGGAATTCCCCTTATTTGCTATGGTCAACCTCCCAAGAGATGCTCAGATTTCTGGTTCCCATTTGCTAACATGGGGACAGGTGAAGGGGGGTAGGGGAAGTGGGATGTTTGACTCTAGGCCATGCACCAGTAGGTTCACTATTGCTTAGCAGGGAGGCAGACTGGTTGCTTATTTTCCCAGTGTCTTAAGTTCCAACATGGTGTGGATCTCAGGAGACACTGGTCTCCTACGGCCCTAGAGGGGCCGTAGTCTGCCATACCACAGCCACTTAACAGGGAGGCGAGCTACTTGCTTGAAAAACCCTTCTTTCAAATGTATATTGAAAACACTGTAATTTGACTAGAATACCTAGTAGGATGTATAATAATACTAAAGATGGAGAGCATTCAAAATTTTACACTGTTTTCAGTAATTATTTTTTGGTTGAGTTGTAATGGTGTCATTCTTCTGAAACTATGATAGATAAACACAAAGGCAGACATGCAGTCAATCAAATGAGTAGTGATATTGAGGTGATTGAGGAGTTAGGTTTTCTGTATGATTGAAAAGAAACAGAGGCCTGGGGATACTGCTCAATTGTAGGGCTCTTGGCTTGCATACACAAGACCCTAGGTTCAATCCCCAGCACCACCAAAAAAAAAGAGAGAGAGAGAAAAGAAAAGAAATACAGGTACTGGGCATGATGGCACACACCTGTAAGCCCAGCACTCAGGAGGCTAAGGCAGGAGAGTCTCTGCAAGTTAGAGACCAGCTTCGGCTACAAAGTGAGTTCAGGGCCACCCTAAACTCCATAGTGAAACTCAGTCTCAAAAAGAAAAAGAAAGGGGAGGGAGGGAGGAAAGGTAAAGGAAAGAAATACAAGTAGAGATGTGAGGTTGATGGAGATTTTTGTTGTTTTAGAGGATCCAGCTTGGAGCTTCACACATGCCAAGAAACTGCTCTCCCACTGAGCTGCATCCCCAGCCCTTGATGATGTTATTAAACTAAAAAATACTAACATGGCCACACAACATATTTTGTCATAAGTGTGTACATGATGTTATATACTACAGGCACATGCACATACACCCAAAGCAAGCTTCCTTTATTTGCCCACTGAATAGGCCTAGAAATAATGACCAAACTTCTAGCAGCGAACACTCCTAGAGCATCCATATTGTTGTCAACAAATAACATTTCCTTCCTCCTGTCACTGTCACTGGATTGCTTCTTAGTCAGTTAGCCTGCATCCCGGTCACAGAGAAAAAGAATGAGCAGTCGTATGCCATCATACCTTTCCTTGGGTCTTGCTGGTAGCTCTGTAGGGCACAAGCTCAGGGTCTGTGTTGCTGCCATTGCCCAGTGACCTTGTGCATGAACTTCTGGTGACCACTTATGTATGTGCTCCTTCAGTGGGGTCTGTCTCCTAGACGGTGACAACCATTGGTGATTTGAGAAAGGAAGAGTGGAGGACAAATGCTCCTTCCCTCTTATTCTGAAAGCAGCTTGGTTATTCAAGATTTATGGAACATGGTCACCAATATGAACTCCAAGCTAGCTAGTTGAAAGCCTGCTTGCTTTGATTTTTTTTTTTATTCTTGTTTCTGTTTCTGTTTCTCTTTTTGATGGCCCTAGAGATGAAAAGAACTAAAGAACTCCAAGTTTTCTAGTCATTAGGAGGGCTGCTGTAACACAGGGTGCTAAGCAGCATGCAGTGTTTGGCCCTCGACCAGAGCATTCCTTCTCAGCCCAGCGTCTGCCCTTCTCTGGGCCCTGCTATGGTGGCCTTTCCCATGTCTCCATCCCTACTGTGGCCTGTTCAGTCTCACTGTTTACCAGGTTTCTCAGTTTTTATATTAATTAGCACTGAGTTGTAGGAATTTTGTGGTTTTCACCTATGAGTCTAGGAGGAATTTGAGGACAGGGTAGGAATGGGGAATTTCTTGTCCAGGGACCGTGCAGACTTAGAATCTCTACCTGGAGTTACTCCTTTCTCTGGGCCCTTTAAGTCTGTACTAGCTGTTACACCAGCTTCCTTTAAACAGCTTTGTGCCAGAGCCATAGCTTAGTATTCTGGACTCTGGGATTATAAGTAAGACAATGGGAAAAAAGCAAGAGTCCAAGGCTCCAGGCCTGCTCTGCTAGTAACTCACCAAGGAGCCAGGCCACATTCCTCACTGATTTGGGCCACCTCTATCCAAAGCAAGAAGGGACCTGTGTGCCCAGGGGCATTTATAGCCTCACACCTGGTGTGGCCACTCCTCCCTTCAATGGCAGAAAACACTCCTCTGCTTAGAAACACACATTTCCCACTAAAAGAAACTAGAGCTCCTTTAAACAAACATCTGATCAGGTTTGATCAAAAAATAAGAGTAAAGCCCAGTGCGATGAAAGCAAAGAAACTATCAGACACTATTCTCTATCAAAGACTTTATGCAACATAGAACATAAATACAGTAAGTCTCCAACTTACAAACATTCAAGTTGCGAACTTTCACAGGTGTATTAAGACTCACTTTGTTGGATTACAGACAAATCCGACTTACAAACATTCTTCTGGAATGGAACTCATTCATAAATCAGGGACTTCCTGTACACACTTACCCATTTCTATTGTTATATGTATGTATGAATACTTATATACCTACCTCATCATAAATTCATACTGATTGCTTCAAATCCATTCTTAAAACTTTAGAGTTTATTCTGGTCTTTCCTTCTGTAGTTGACTGGATTGTGTTAAAAGAATTTAAAACCTGAAGAGACTCTTGTAGGCCATACGTGAATAGCAATGAGAATAATTACTACAATGCAGTAAAAACAGCAATATAGTTAAACACATGACTTCATTGTGTTCCATTTAAAAACTAGTAATAAAAATCTACTCATGTTGGAGGATAATTTTGAAAACTGATTAAATAAAAGGACTAAAATGTTTAGCATGTCTTACTATTACTAACAGTATATCAGGGTAACCTCCCCAAACTATATATATCCACTAATAAATTAATGGGTTTTGGTACTAAGATCAGTTTAGAAAGAAGCAAGTATATAACATGTGCCTCTTGGTGGAAAATTGAAAGCTCGTCTATGAAATATTTTGCCAAAAATCAGATCTTAGCCTCATCAACAGATAAAACTCAGACTTTAGAGGATAAATAGGGAACCACAGGCCCTGGTTCAGTGACACAGCAAAATGCCATCAGTAAGATGTTAACTGTGAGAAACACAAGACAAATATGTTATCTCTTTAACAGATAATTTTAAAAAAAGAAAAGAATAAATCCAACCAGGCATGGTGGCCCACACCTGTAATCCTAGCACTCAGAAGGCAGAGGCAAAGACATTATTAAAATACACCAGGGTGAAACAAAATGATGCTTAAGACTTGCCTCCTCACAGTCTTGGAGAGTAGGAGCATGGTAGAAAGAAGACTGACTGTAAGAGGTCATTATGCTTTTTCTCTGTGATTTTACATTTTTAAATTTAAGGGGTGTCGCCAGTCTGGGGGAAGAAAGGACAGCTTCCTGGGAATGAGTATCACCTCACAGATGCTTGTACATGAACCACAAGCTTCTCTTTGCCCCACTGTGTTTCTGGTAGTAGTCAGTAAACAGTGGGTCTTCACCGATGATCCCACGATGGCAGATGACACTTGGCAAAGGAATTCTGTTGTGAAACCTGTCCTGTGGCACATAACTGCTGGAACTGGCCATGCACACTACCTATGTAAGCTCTCATATTCCTTGTCATTACGTACACATGATGCAACACATGTGACCTTCCTCCTTCCCAGGCTCAGGCCCGATGTCACCGTATAGGCCAGAGCAAAGCTGTGAAGGTGTATCGCCTCATCACTCGGAACTCCTATGAGCGGGAAATGTTTGACAAGGCCAGCCTAAAGCTGGGCCTGGACAAGGCTGTCCTTCAGGACATCAACCGAAAGTGTGGCACCAATGGAGTAAGTATGCTGAAAGTGCTTTGGAGTATGAGGAGTACTTGTGCAACACAGGTCTTTCTGGGCTATTCTCCTGACAATTGTTTCTAGATTCCTTTTACCATATTGAGTCAGCCCACTTGTCAAGTTGGGTAATTCTCTACAGTAGAGAATAATATGTGATCAGGTCTGTGCATTTTCCAGATGGGACACTGGAAATCTGTAGGAGCAGTTTTGCAAAAAGGTTTGCCAAAATGTAATATTGTAGAAAACAATTTCTAACTATGCTCATTAGAAGCCAATAGATTTTAACGTTCTTTATTGTATAAATATGTATTTTTTCCATCTCATAATCCAGACTTTGAACTTCATAATACTGTAGCATTATTTATGACTTACCAGGGACCCTAACAGTGCACGGCATATTAAAGCTGCTCCATGTGGCATCATCAGTGAATAATGAATGAACAAGTTAACAGCTATGACAGTTAAAGTGGTTTGTTTTTTTTTTCTCCCTCAAAAAAGGGATATTCTTAGTTGTGTGGTATAGGCACATCAAGATATCTCCTTAATCTCTGGGTTTAGGGCATCAAAGACTGGCAATTAAAGCTCCTAAGTGAATTGTCTTCAGTCCATATGTTCTATATCCTCCTAGCTGTGTATATGTTGCTAAGTATAGTACTTCAAACTACGCATCCTTCGAGTTACGGAATTCTGTCTTGATTGATATAAGAAGAACCAGATTTTTAATTAGAACCAGGGAAGGATGTTTTGAATCCCTTTTCCTGTTTTCAACACGTAGTTGAGAAGATGACACTTGTCACAGGATCCTTTTTTAGTTAAGAAATGACATCACCTCCAATACTAATGTATTTGTTTAATAACGAGTAAATCATACTTCAACTTATTTCATACATCTGGAGATTTTTAAAGATACAGTCTCAAACTAAATTTTTTTTAGTATTCAAATATATCCTCTTCAATGGTGCCTAGTTTTAGTGGCTTATGACATCTGAAAGAATGATAGGGCTCTTGGATCATGTGTTGTGCTATATTCCAGACTTCCCTGTAGAGAATTGTCTGTCTGTGCTTCCTGAGAAAATACACAGGATACCTTTTTCTGGGTTTTCATTGTTTCAAGTTTGTTCTTCTTGTCTTTTGTTCTTTCTGATACATACAATGAGTGGGGGAACTGTATAGTGAATCATAAGGCCAGATTTAAGGCTTTTTCTCCTGTACATTTTCTACTTTGTGAGTAGCTTTTGGTGACTTGTTCAGGTACAGCAGCTCTCAAAAATGGAGGTGGAGGATTTGCTCCGGAAAGGTGCTTATGGAGCCTTAATGGATGAGGAGGATGAAGGTTCCAAGTTCTGTGAAGAAGATATAGACCAGATTCTGCAAAGGAGAACCCACACCATCACTATCCAGTCCGAAGGGAAAGGGTCCACTTTTGCCAAGGTACAGGACCTTCTGGGTCGGTGGGAAAGAAATGAACATCATTTATTCTTCAACTCTTGTTAGCAAGCTTTTTGTTTTTCAAAATGCAAATTCTGGAAACTGTCTGGCTGCATATCTGGTCTCTGTAACTTTCTGGAGATGTAGATGCTTAGAGAAAGTCATGGGGGGCTGTGGAAAGAAAACACTGAACATTTGAGAGCTGATGATTAGTAGCAAGGTAGATACTAGCCTGCACTTGACCCTGTCCACTCTTCACGAGGACTGCTCCAAAACCTTTGAGTAATTGTCTTGATTCCTTGTAGAGTATTCCTTGATCACTGTCAGAGAGTGGATCTTCAGTGAACATTCTAGTCCTCACACTCAAGCAAGCATGTTGTTCATTTCGTGGAAAAAAGATTTTATGTAAGCTTCCTAGCTTCTAGTCTTGGGACTTTCTTCCTCTGCTATATAGGTCTGTGGCTTTAGAAGTTTACAGATCACTCTCAGGTTACCCTAAGCATAGGCTCTGCTATGTTATCTATGAGCTTTAAGATCGATTTGATTCAGTGACTCATGTAGGAAGTTTTGTGCTTTCAGGAAAAAACCTGGGTAATGTGTTGCTTCAGTGGTTTTTCTAGAGCAGACATTTGGTTAACTGTTGAACTAAAAAACAAATTAAATCTAGCAGAATCTTGAAATTAGACACTAGTTTTGTGTATTAAGTAACACACTACTCTTGCCTTTTAGGATTTTTTCTTGCTTCCAGGTTTAATATGTTCACAAAAGAGCCATAATTTGTATGTCTCAGTGCTAGGTAGCTCTGATGTGCATTTGGTCATTCCTGTCAGCTTGTACTGCTGGTGGTACATGCCTGGCTGTTCCATTGGGTGATGAACCACCATTGGTTAGCTACTTAACATTAGATGGTGCCATTTAAATCACAGACACCCAGCATCAATACATATAAATTATGGTCCCACTGTGAACATATTAAATGCAATTAAAAAATCATAGTGCAGCTGACTTGTTTTAAATGCATATTAAATATATCAGCAATAGGTAAGATTTCCATGTTAAAAGTTAAGGAATTTATCAGTAAACTTTTCTGAAATATAAATAGATTTATTTAATTTAATGAAATAAATTTTTATTTTAGTAATTTTAAATTGGATGAACAATATTAATATTTTTATATTTGGGCAGTAATTATTCAGGTTCAAGCACCTAGCTAGATTTGGGCCATTTATAGACTTTTGATTTATAAAGATGAAGGAATTTAGCTTACAGTTTTTGTAAGTTTCACTCCATACTCAGCTGGCTTCAATGCAAGGTGGCATGGCTGAGAGCAGTCGTTCATGGTGACTGCAAGCAACAAGAGCGAAAGGGCAAAAATAGAAAAAGGAAAAGCATGCCTTCTTACCTCCTTTATATTGTATGCCAGCTACCCACCCTTGGGTGGGTATGGCACTCACATCACCAGTCCCAGCACTAGACAACGAACCAATCACAGACACTAGATTCAACCACCTCCATGACTGCATGGGGCTTGCGGGGCCATCCAAACATAAACTGTTGACGTACCACCAGTGATGCAAACCATCCAATGGGACAGGCATGCATGTACTACCTGTGATTCAAGCCAGTAGGAATGTGTTAATTTCTATAAAACCATGTCAACTGAAATTGTAAATTCCTTAGCCAGTCTTTGAAATAAAAGAAAAAAGAATAACTTTTAGATTTTCATATTTATTTTGGAAGCACCGCTAGGAGGTTTTGATGTAGATAGATAATATATTTAGCTTTCTAGTACTTTTAAAATAATACAACTGTTTCATTTGTACCTTGCTCAAGCAGTTTGTTGACTCTTATTTCCTTTGAAAGGCTAGTTTTGTGGCTTCAGGAAACCGGACAGATATTTCCTTAGATGACCCTAACTTTTGGCAGAAATGGGCTAAAATTGCTGAACTGGACACTGAAGCAAAGAATGAAAAGGTACAGCATATTTTACTTCACTGACCACTTATTTGCTCTCTCATCTGACCATAAGTTTCTATACCACTCAAGTCATTATTTAATCCTGAGACTTGATCCTTAGCTGACATACTATTATAACGCACTTAAAACATGCTAGGTATATACACAGCACTTATAAATGTTAGCTATTATAACTCTGTAGTGAGCTAATGCAACATAGAATCTGCTGAATATCTGGGAGGTTCTACAAAGGAAATTATTGCTGGGACTAACCAAACAGATCAAGTTCTGTCTTTTTCTGTGTCAATACTTCCTGTGAAAGTAGTCTCACCCATGACAAATAAAAGAAAGAAGGAAAAAAAAATAACAAAGGAAAGGTTTTTGGCTTTCCATCTTTTTTTTTCAGTGCTCAAGTTTTGCTGTTTCTGAAATGAAACAAAAGTGTGCCTTTGGGTGAGGTAATTGAACTCACCAAAACAGGTAGAAAAAGGTAGAAAAGCCTATACTCCACGCAGGATGTTATATCTGTAAATAAGCAGTCACATTTGTAAATAAAACTGGCACTGATGCCCAACCAACTTTAAAGAACCTATAGAATGTTGCTTTCCCTACCTCACATTAAGTATATATCCTTTCCAACTGTGTGAGGTGAGTGTTGAACTCTTGTGGGTTCAGAAACCCTATTTGTATTTAGGTAAGTCAGGGCCAGCATCCAGCTATACGTATTTTTCTGTAAGATCGCCAGCATTTGCTTAATCCAGCATCCTTTCTCCAAATAGAAATGTTCTTTTTCCCTCTTATATATAAGAAGATTCTGAATCTCTTTTAGTAATCTGCTTTAAGTGTTTTACAGTGTCATAATCAAGGAGCCACCCTGTGTGTGAAACGGTGGGTTAGAGAGAGAAAGAAAGACCTCCTGCCTTATTGGTAGCAAAAAGCAATGGTACCATTCCAAGTTGGAAAGCAGGGTCATTGAAGCAGGCATGAACTGCAAACTGGCTGTCTGGACTAAGAAAGAGTGTGCAGGGGTTTATCCTGGCCCTGGAAGAAGTAGAAAAGGAGTGAGGAAAAGGAAATGATAAAATTACAGAGGACAGTAGGTGTGACCAGGGAAGCCGCTAGGCATTTTGTGTTTTGGCAAAATACAAAAGGCTAGTGAATAGTAACAGTAGGCAGATAATGAAACAGAAGGATGTATGTTTGCCTTTAGAAAGTTGCCATGTATATGGCATGCTCTGACCTGTTCTGACTCCAGAGCATAGACTGATTTGTTCATGCTAGCAGAACAGCCAATCTTTCTTGGCAAGAGCATGCTGTCACTCTGGGCACTCACAGACATTACCTTCCCATACTCCTGTTAGAATGACAGCAGATAGTGGCCAGGGAGCATGCCAACTTGAGCAAGTCTCAGAAAATCTCTGCTTTTCCTGTAGTCATAGAGACAACAGGTGCGCTGTGAAGAACCTTTCCAGCCAGAGGACGAAATGAGGGGTTGGTTCTTTCCCACATGTGCCTAGAGGATCGGCAGCAGGATATATTTGTACATTGCACGGAGTGGAGAAAAGGAGGGCCTTCTCTCCAACATATTGTCCTCTTCATTTCTAGGAAAGCTTAGTGATTGATCGGCCTCGTGTAAGAAAGCAGACCAAACACTACAACTCGTTTGAGGAAGATGAGCTTATGGAGTTTTCAGAGTTAGACAGTGACTCAGATGAACGACCCACAAGATCCAGACGACTCAATGACAAAGCCAGGCGCTACCTCCGAGCTGAGTGCTTCCGAGTAGAAAAGAACCTGCTCATCTTTGGGTAGGTATTATCTCTTCTTGATGTGATAGTACTCTTTTCCCATTTTTCAGCCTGAGATTTGTTCATTGTGTTTCTCCAAACCCTCTGTAGTTATACGGCTGATAAGATCAGCTGGCGCAACAGAATCCCCAAGTCACTGTGTGCTTTGCAGTCATAGTGTACAAGTGCTATAGTTTTCTCAAATGCTTGTCAAATCAAGTCTCTGTTACTAATTTGCTGCCTAGTACTGATTTCTTGCAGTTTTCCCCCCCAAAGATATATAAGGAGTCAGTGCAACAGATGTGTCTTAGTTAGTTTTCTCTCTCGTTGTTGAGACAAAATACCTGATGTCCAAAGTTAGGAAAGAAAGGTTTCTTTCTTACACGTTGGAAGTTTCAATCCATACTTATTTGGCTCCAAGCAGCAGGGTGGCGTGGCAGGGGTACCATAAACAGCGAGCGTGAACAGCAAAAGAGAAACACATACCTTCCTTACACTGATACACTGTGTACTGGCTCCTTCCCTGGGCAGGTGTAGCACTCACACCACCCATCTGAGTGCTAGACAATGAACCAGTCACAAACACTAGATTCAGCCACGTCCATAATTACATGAGACTTGAGGGCTCACTGACAGAAATGATGACATTCTACCCCTGGGCCCCTCAAAGACTCATGCACATCCTTTATACAAAAGACATTTAGTCCATCTCTAAGAGTTGCCAAAGTCCTAACAGTTTCAGCATTACTGGAAAGTCCAAGTCCCAAGTCTCCTCCTAGATCTATGGCAGACTTAACTACAACCCCCTCTACAAATGAAACAAGGTTAAACATTTCCAAAATGAAAAGGCACAAGATAAATATTACCATTCCAAAAGTTACAAACGGGAATACAAAGTATTGGAACCAAAGCAAGTCCAAAATCCAGCAAAACAAACATTAAGTCCTGGAGTTCCATGCTCAACATTTGAAGCAATCTGGTTGCAGGCTCCAAATGGCTTGAGCGACTCCACCTCCACAGCACTTCCGGAGGTTTCAGCTTTCATAGCTTCTCTCTTAAGCCCGCTCTGCTCAGTGTTAGCAGCTTTCCTTGGATGATCCATATTCCTGGCTTTTCCAAACCTTTGGCATCTCTGTTGCATCTTTGGCCTCTCACTCTCAACTTCACGTATTGCCCTCTTAGGAACACACTGCCTGGCCTCTTAGGCCTTCTGAAATTGGGGTGGAAGCTGCCTTAACCTCAGAACTGGTGCACCTTTTCCTTGCAACTAAAACCAGTACCATGTAGATGTTGTCAGGGTCCACTGCTAGCTGGAGCCTTAGCCAGGCTTTCCTCTTTCTTGGCTGTAAGGGTTGAGTGCCTGGATTGCTGAACTCTTTGAACCTGATTGTGAGGAATAGCTTCTCTGTGTCACCACCTTTCTGGAATCTGGTGTGGCCGCTGCCATTTTGGAACCTCCTGTGGCCTCCTTTGCCACTCTGGAATGTCACCCTCTGCAGCTTTCTCCTCCAAGCAAACTCTTTCATTTTTGCCAGTTTGGAGCTGCAAAAGGTGGAGACTTGCTGCTTCCCAGGATGGCCCCAGGCCATTCTTTTTATTTCTTTGTTCTTTCCCAGCAATTGAGGTCTCAGCTCTATCTTTAAAGTCCACAGCTTCCTAGCCAAACTCACATTTTCAATCCTGCTGGGCTCTTTGCTCTTGATTCACAACATAAATCTGGCTAAAAGCCCCCAACAATAGCCATGTCACTACCTCAACATTTGACTGCCATGAAACTTCTTTTGCCAGATTAATCATTTCACCACCCTTAATCTCAGTCTCAGGCAAAGTCTCTGGACACGAGCAAAATGCAGACAAACTTTCTGCCAGGCCATAACACATATCGTGTAGAGTCCAACAACCAGTGCACTCCTTCTTTCCAGCAGAAACCTCCCAAGCCTGATCTTTACTGACAGGCTTTCTGTCAGCCTTCTGGTCTCCTGAGCTCTGACGAGACTCTCCCCTACAGAACAGCCTAAGCTATTCCAGCACCACCCTTTCAGGCAACGTCTCCAAACCTTCCCAAACTCTTCCCACAGCCATCTCCAAAGGATCTTGACATGGTCAGGTGTAGTCACAGCAATAACCCCACTCCTGGTACCAAATTCTGTCTTAGTTACTTTCCTCTCTCATTGTTAAGGCAAACTACTTGAACCCAAAGTTAGGAAAGGAAGGTTTATTTTTTACATGTTGGAGGTTTCAGTCCATACTCAATTGCCTCCAAGAACCAGGGTGGCCTAGCAGGGCCACCATAAGCAGCAAGCATAAATAGCAAAAGAGAAAGATACACCTTCTTCCCACCATTACATTGTATACTGGCTCCATCCCTGGGTGCGTGTTGCACTCACACCACCTATCTGAGCACTAGACAACAAATCAATCACAAACACTACATTCAACCACATCCATAATTGCATGAGACTCTCACGGGCGAGGGGCACTGACGTTACTCATGACAAGATGTTTAAGTCAAGGCATGGTATATGCAGAGCTCTGGCTTTGTAGAAATGGTAGGCTCAGCGTCTTTAAGAACTGTTTCAGTTCTTATTCTCTGCTTCCAATAATTTGATCCATGCTTTCTTAATAACCAGCAGCCATGTGAAGTTCTCAATGTCCAGTGTTCAGATTTCCTTAATGACATTTGATGTGCTACACTGATGTAGTCTTCAAAGGCCTTTAAGAAAAAATAGCTCACAAGGTGATTAACAGGCCCAAAAGATGAGACGTGCTTTTTGCTCTTGTTTATCCTGCTTTGTGAAAGTTTATTGCATGGCCCTTCCTCCTTCCAATACTCTTTTGTGTTTTTACTATCAGCTGGGGCCGCTGGAAGGACATCCTGACTCATGGACGATTCAAGTGGCACCTGAATGAGAAGGACATGGAAATGATTTGCCGGGCCTTACTGGTGTACTGTGTCAAACATTATAAGGGAGACGAGAAGATTAAGAGTTTCATTTGGGAACTAATCACACCTACCAAAGATGGACAGGCCCAGACTCTCCAGAACCACTCAGGTGAGAGGTAGAAGAGCTCCCAGGCACTTTTATCTCATCTCCTTTGTCGGTCCACATCACTGTGCTTTGGGTATTTCTCTTTCTGGATGAATTTTAGAACAGTACATATGTAGAAAGATGGTGATGCTGTCACTTTTCTCTTAGGATCATCCATTGTTGCCTGTGTTATTTTGAGGATAGTTGAGCCTCTTGCAGTTTCCAATATGTAATCCTGTCCACTAACCTGAGTGCCACAGGGTTCCAGCCTTAAGGTGGTAACTCACAGCTGAGATCTGTGATTCATCTTTTGCATTTCATCATTCTATTTCTATTCCACCTCTGTGCCTTTACTTGTGCTTCACTTTTTCCTTGTACTTGATCCAAGTTCTCCTTAAAGTTTTAAATGTAATCTTCCTGTCTGCCAGAAGGAAAATCATAATGATCCTAAGCACACAGACCATATTACACTTTTCTTGCTTCTCACAGGGTACTCAGTAAATCTTACTGACTGATTAAAGGGCCCTAGAGTTGACTAAGTAGGAGACCAAATACATCACCTCAGTGCTTGTGAGTAGAGCCTGTCATCCAGAGCCCACTAATCATGTCTTGGCTCCCTCTTTGCAACTCTAGTCCAGCTGATTTAATACCCATGGGCTTATCTATGTGCCCGGCACTTTCTATTTCAGGGCTGTCTGCCCCAGTCCCTAGAGGAAGGAAAGGAAAGAAGATGAAGAACCAGCTACTGCTCCCAGAACTAAAAAATGCAGACTGGCTAACGACCTGCAACCCTGAAGTGGTCTTGCATGATGATGGCTACAAGAAACACCTCAAGCAGCACTGTAATAAGTGAGTGTGCCCCTTTTACCCCCTGGGATAGCCTTGCTCAGGCTGCCTAGTTCCTGAGACTTTACAGGGAGGCCACTTCTGTATTCCTTATTGTGCCCAGGTTAGGGGATCTGTGGCCTAAGCTGGCTCAGCAATTCATTTCACGCTGTAGGTTTCCTAACTTCTTTAACAGTATCTGTTGTCTCCCAGGATACATTTTGTATCCCTGAAGATTTTTCTCATCTGACTTTCAAAAGCCACACAAAATCCCCTCTGCCTCTGGGATCATATTAGCAAAGGCAGAAGACTGTCCTTACTGGCCACTGCTCAGGACCCTATGCCAGCTTGCTACTTCCTTTACTTTTCTATTGCCAGCATGGCCTCCAGTACTTCATCGTCATGCCTTTGAGATAATATTCTTTATATCCATAGGATAACAGCTAAGGTGGACTAGAGGACATCAACAAAATAAATAAATAAATAAATAAAAGATAAAATTGTATTCCTGCATAGTTTATTCTTGGGAAGTTCGGACACTTAGCCATGAAAGAGTGATAGTTTTGCATGGGGCTATTTGCATCATTATACAGTGTATCTGACACTTGGAAACCAGATGCCCCCTGGGATTATATAGGCCATATAAGAGTTATCTTCCCAGCATTACCTAGTGTGCAGTAAGAAGGCTTCTTATACACCCTTAGTCATCAAGAGCTTATTACATTAAGGATTAAAATGTTATGCTGAAACTGGGTGTGGTAGCGCGTACTTGTAATCCCAACACTCAGGAGGCCAAGGCAAGTGGATTGTAGTGAGTTTGAGGCCAGCCTGTGCTACATAGTGAGTTCAGGGCTAGCCTGGACTACAAAGCAAAACACTGCTTCAAAAAAAAAAAAAAAAAACAAGATGTGGCTTAGCAAGAAGACAAACTGTGCCTTTCTGTGAGCCAAAACCAGAAGAGCACACTCCCCCTGCCCACCCTCAGTGTAAGCACATGGCTGATTCAGAAGACTCAGGGTGAGATGATAGCAACCAAGGTGAAAGGATAGCTTGATGCTTGTATTGTTTGAGCTCTGCAGGCCTGGGGCTGGTGGTCTGGGCATCTGTTTAGAGGATGGCAATGTGCATTATGGCAACTGTGGGGATTTCCTTCTGTCTCATTTTTGAAATGCAGTGTTTGGTTTTATTTTATTATTTTGTTTTAGGCCTGTATCTGGTAATCGGTATTTTGAAGATAACAATATTCAGTATAACAAACATTATTAAATTCCTGTCATCTTGTTTTGAAAATCTATATAGCTATGATGGTGATAGTGGTGGTGGTGGTTATTGTCATTTTGCTTTTGTTGTTGTGTTTTAGGTTTGTTTGCTTCTTTTTTTTTTTTTTGTCTTTTTCGTTTTTATCGGTACCGGGGATGGAACTCACGACTGCCTGCTTGCAAGGCAGGTGCTTATGCCGCTGAGCTAAATATCTACCCCCTTTGTTTGCTTCTTGATGTTTCTGGTTTTTTTTTCTCTTTAAAATAAAATTTTTAAAAAAACAAAATGTTCTTATAACATCAGCCTGCTGGTTCTTTAATTGTCATGTTGTAAGGCTTTTTGGTTTCGTTTTTTACAGACAAAGTCTCGTCTTTTTTTTTTTTTTTTTTTTTTTTTTGTCTGTCTTTTTTTTTTGTCTTTTTTTTTTTTTTGTCTTTTTCGGTACCAGGGATCAAACTCACGACCGCACACTTGCAAGGCAGGCGCTTATGCCGCCGAGCTAAATCTCCAGCCCCTGAAGTCTCATCTTTTTGATCACTCCATTTTAAGATAGGTCCTGTGTCCAATGCTGTAATGAAAGCTACTATACACAATACAGTAGTTTTGCATCTCGCCATTCTATCTCTGTTGCACTTGGACACTTATTATGGGTGATAGAGCCCAGCTAGGGAAGATCCGCAATGCATTTGATGTTAGTGAATATGAGAAACAGACAACAAAGAAGCTGGCTAGCTGAGAGGGCTTATTAATAGTATTCCTGACAAGTAAAAATGTTATCAGTAAACACATAGCAACAGAATTTCTTGCACTAGTGAGACTTGTGACTACAAAGTGAAATTTGAGAGGAAAATCTAACCTGGCAACAGTTTGCAAGATGGAGTAATAGTTGGGAGAGTTTTGTCATAATTAGCAAATTTACTGCCATCCTGTATTAGATAAAGGTTTAAGATAGACTCTTGGGTCAAAATTATCTAGATTAAAGTCCTGGCCTGATTATTTGGCCAGCAGGTAAGTTATTTAACCTCTTTGTGCCTTTTTTCCTTTGTCTACAAAATGATGACAACAGTTCATACCTGTTAGCATTGTTCTGAAAGTTAATGGAGGCAACGTGTGCCTAGCATATAGTAAGCATTCTTAAAGTATTGTTTGTTGTTAGTAGTAATATTTTATGTAGAGGCATAAAATTATCAGAAAAACTTACAAAAGTTAAAAAGCATCTGGCTATGGTGACCCATTCCTGTAATCCCAGAACTCGGGAAGCTGAGGATTGCCAAGTGGGAGGCCTGCCCTGGCTACATAAGTGAGTTCAAGCCAGACCAAAAGACATAGTGAGACCCTGTCTCAAAAAAGAAAAAGGAAAAGTTAAAAAGCCACTACTTCAAATCCAAGGTAACAGAAGTCAGGATAGGGGTTCTTCTTTGGGGGTAGGACAGTGCTTGAGTGGGAGTCCAGTGGGACTTCCGTGGAAATGTTCTGCTGCCAGTTGGTTTCTCTTTGTGCAATGCTTCGACCCTACACATTTATACAGAATCTACTTTACATAAGTGTATTTCACATTATTATGTCTTTAAAAAGAAAAAGAAAAAAAAGATTCTGCCCCCAAAATATTAATGGATTGCTTTGTTTGGCTAAAACAGGGTGCAGATATTTGCTCCACTGTCTCTGTTCTTTGGCCTTTTCATCTCAGTCTAGAAGGAGGTGGCTGTATGCAAGGAGTTGTCAATCTGCCCTCTAAAATGAGTGGCTTCTGTTTGGAAGAACTAAGTAGATACTTTTGACTTTAACTTCTGTTCCCTTGTACTGCAGATATTGCCAAATATCGAACACTTGCCTCTCAGCAGAGAAACACATAGTTCTCCCAGTCTTACATCTGCAGAAAAACCTTACTCTGATGGAGCTAGATTTCAGCAGGCAAGGCTCTGACTTTCTGTTCTTAGGGAGGCTACCAGTTCCTGCCAACTAGGCATAAGGCTCAGCAGTGATTATAAATTCTTAGAGTTCCTGTCTGGGTTTTAGGAGAAAGAAAATCTCAGAATTATTTGACTTGATTAGCAGCTGAGTTTAAAAAAAAAAAAAACACTGATAACAAACACAGGGTTCTTTCCAGTCTCAAAGTTTTAACTTTGTGTCTCCATTTATAAGAAACCCATAGTGGCACTGCCTACCCAGAGCTTGAAGAAATTATGCTTTTTAGAGGGCATGACCTATATTATTAACTTAAGTTGGTCATATACATGTTTAAAAAAGTAAAAATCTGTCAAAACTTTTCTCGTTTTCCCGTTGCCCACTTCAGAGGCACACTAACCTGGTTCTTATAGAGATACTTTGCATCTGTGTATCTGCAGGTGCCTCTTGTCTTCCTTAAAATGATGCATATTATGCATACTGTTTGTCGTATCTTTTTATAAACAAATTTTCTGGAGGTCATTTCCTATGTACTAGGAATGTAAACAGAGTTCTATTTCTGGTGGCCAACCTTCACCCTTGACTGGTATTTAGTGAATTGCAAGTGCTTCTCCAGCTTTCTTGACTGCTTGGCCTTAAACATAAAATGCCTTCTGGCCAGCCAGCTGCCTCTGCGCTGGTTCTTGCTGTGTACTCTTGGCCTAGAAACTTATAGTCATTTTCTTTACTCTTGACTCTTCCTGTGATTGGTTTCATTTCACAACTCTGTTGTTGCAGGCTGATCAAAATGAGTTTGAGTTGTTTACTGTGTTATATATCTCACAGCATCAAGCATGGTGCAGGGCGTGCCCAACAAACACTTAACTCAAATCCTGAACATGACCTCTGCAGAAGCAAGATAAACTGATTCTGGAGGGAAGACCTAGTGCTATAAGAAAGTGACTTCTGTCTTCTATTCATTTTATTCTGTATGAGTAAAACTGTTTGAACACACTGCTATTCTACATCACTCGCACTGTTAACTGGCCTCTTGGACACCAGCTATGCCTTCAGGGTTATTGTGGTCTTGTAGAAGAAGTGTATATTCCCTGTAATATCAGAGTACTTACTGTAGGTCTGTTTTCCCCTGTGACTTATGGGCAATCCAACAGATAACTAAGGAGCTGGTTGTTTTCTTGGGAAAGACAGAATGATCATAGTAGCATCTGCCATTGGTACATGGTTTTTTTCCTTTGTGCTTCCTGGCATATTACTTCATACTGCCAACTACATAGGAATGCCTGTAATTTCCCAGTGTCAGTTTGGGGGTGAGGTCACAGTCAGTCATGGGTTCTAATGTGTTTACATTAATGTGTTCCCCTTTTGTAGAGTCCTTTTGCGAGTCCGAATGCTGTACTACCTAAAAGCTGAAATACTGGGCGAAGCAGCTGATAAAGCATTTGAGGGAACTCCTGCCAGGTAAAACAAATCAACCTTAGCTCTCAGTGATCAAGAATGGACATTAAGTGCCTGTGTGTGGACTGGCCAAACTGCCTAGGACTAGTAACCTGAGAAGTGGGCGGAGAGAAGGAACATTCCATCCAGATGACGAGGATGGCTCCAAGTAAAAGCAGCAAGAAAATAGGCTTCTGGAAACAAAGTTTTTGGAAGGTTTTTGGTTTTTTTCCTCCCTACTCACCCTGCCATTGTAAGACTGCCTTTAAAATAGTCACTTCTCTACCGTAGGTAATCTTTGCACAATAAATGTCAGTTATTCTGATTGGTTTAGTCTGCCAGGTATAGACAAACTGTTTCTCAGAATCCCATTTTGGCCTTAGTACTCTTAATACATTCAAGTATTTCTCTTTTATTTGTTAATCATGTTACTACCTTATGACCTGTTTGATTTGTTGCATCTTTGAGAGTCCTCCAAGATTTATTGAAATGAAAGCTCTCTGCTGCTACTTAATATAGCTGTTAGAAAGTCACAATTTATAAGCAGGATCACCAGACAGTCTTACTTATCTTCCCTGAAGTGGCAGTTTTCTCTACACACTGGTCATTCCTAGACAACACCAGGAATGCTGAGACTGCCTGTGGTCATGTTTTCTTTGCTTTTCCACTGGGCAGTGCCAGTGGCTTTATTAGTCATAGGAGCAGTAAAGGAGAGAAAACTATAGGCACCCTGACCATGGGCAGTTGTGATTAGGACCAGTCCCCATGATGATTATTATTACTTACTGTGCCTTGTGGAGTCATGGTAGTAATTTACAGCATGGAGAGGGGTTGTGTTTTGATAGAAAGGTTCAGATCATATAAATGGAGTAATATTCAACCTGATAGTTTATATCAAATGTTACCTGGCAGAAATAACTTACTCACTGTCTGTCACATGCTTTCTAGACATACAGATGGGTTTTACTCTTTAGAAGAAGGACAGAGTATTACTCACTCTTCCCCCTTTTCTCTGCTTTCTTCGTTTCTCGCTGGTCTTACTGTTGTTTAATGTTATGATGTACAGCAGTTGCCCTAAGACATGGAGAGCACTTGTCCCTGAAAAGTCATTTAGCCACTATCTGGGCAGAAGAGTGGGTTTCTAAAAAACTGGGAGCCAAGGAGCACTAATCTCACAGAGGGAACTAGACCTAGCAACGTTAGTCAGGCTTGTGTCACCATCAAAACAGCCTTAGGAAAGAACTCTCAAACACTGCAGAGAAACCATCCCAAGCAGTGAGGAGGGAAAAGGAATAGCCGTCCAGGTAGACATCCTCACTGCTGCGCACCAGCCCCCAAAACCTGCAGAGACCAAGGACTTCTGAGATGAATGAAGACAGTGAGCCTAAGGATCCATGTGCTCTCAGAACATGAACAGAGTTTACAGAGGACTGATGAGAAAGGGCTGGCTGCTAATCTCTGCTTGTGTGCACCCTGGAGCAAATTATGTTTATCCTTTTGGCTAGCAGCAGTGCAACTTACATTCAGTTTTGACCCAATAGACTGTTTACAAACCATTACCAGAAAATGCCACCTATTGTGACAATTGTCCTGTAAAAGACTCTTTATATTCCAGCTAAACCAATGCAAGCTCTTTGTTTTCAAGTGGTACTTGAGTTTTGTATATTAAAGCAACATGTTGATCCAGGATGATTTGGACATTTACTATTTTAAGCATTCAGTCATGATTGAGTTTAGCTATTGGGGGGAAATTTTGCCCTCTGATGACCACTATAGCAAGTGGCTTTTGCTGTGCTTTTCAACTAAAGGTGCACATCAGAATTACCTTTTACATATAGATCCCAGCACCAACTAACAATGGGCTCTCCTGGTGTTGCTGCATGGCTCTACATCTGTTAGACTAAAGTATTATCTGTCTAGGTGTGGTGGTACATGCTGGTCATTGCAGCATTTTGGGAGGCTGAGGTAGGGTGACTGCAAGTGTATACTTAGCCTGGGCAGTTTGAAACTGAGCAAGACTTGTCTCAAAATAGAAAGGGGATGTGTAAGTCAGTCTGAAAGCCTTGGATTCAACCCCAAAAGAGAAAAGGAAGGAGGGGAATCTGGAATTAAGTACATATGCTTAGACATTTCTCTGGGTGACCCTGATGGAAAGGGTCCCTACTTAAGCCTAGCCTTCTCAGTGCTTCTGTTTGTCCTTACTCGAGCATCTTAGTATACATCTAGTAATCTGGCCAAACACCAGCCTAGAGCTGGTAGCTTTGCATTGTTTTGCGTCTGTGCTGAAGGAACAGACACAAAACAGTCTGCGCCCTTCCTTCCACAGGGAACTGGATGTGCCTCTGCCTGACATTGACTACGTGGAGATCCCAGTGGATTGGTGGGATGCTGAGGCTGATAAGTCCCTTCTCATTGGCGTTTTCAAGCATGGTGTGTATTGCAGTAAAATTTCTCCCTTCTGGACCAGATCCCCCAGAAAACCAATCCAAGCCTTCTTTCACTAAGTTTCACATGCTCCTATAAAATTCCACAGTCCAGGGGCTGGTGATACAGCTCAGGAGCATAAGCGCTTGCCTGTCAGGCACAAGGTCGTGAGTCCGATTCTCAGTACCAAAAAAAGAAGAAGAAGAAGAAAATTCCACAATCCTATTAAACATTTGTCTTGGAAAGCAGAGCCTTACCCCTGCCCTCTGGGAGTCTTGACCAGATGAATATGTCAGTCATGACAGTGCTGTAAATGTGTTGAGAAATTTCAGAGAGGCACTGTGGTCACAAAGAACTTGCCTGTTTGCACTTGAGCTTAGACTGCCTCCCTCTCACTCACTCTTAATGGTCCTGGTGTCTGACCTAGTGCCTGGCTTATAGTAGACAGTGTGCTTGATTAGAGGAATAAACAAGTGAGTAAAATGCTAGGTTTTACCATCTCGTATGTACATGGAATTCTAAGGTCATTGAAGATAATCTGTATGTTCTTAGTGTGTATCTTTTGCCCTGTCAGTTTAAAAATCTAAGCAGAGAGGCATGGACCATCTTTTTTGTTTGTTTGTTTTCTTTATGTTAACCAAGAAATTAAAGGAACTGAGGGAGGTTTTTTTAATTACTTGGAAAACCTCAAAATAAATGTGTCTATCTTCATTTCCATCTTCATTTCTGGCACTCTCTTAAGGTCTGGCTCTATTTCAGATGACTGTCCCCTGGACAGTCAGGAATTACGCCTGCTCTGTGTCATCTCCATCCTTTGGTTAAGTGTGTGATGTGGTGCTGCAAGCATTCTCAGCTCTGTGTAGACTGGGTTGTTTTTATCTTTTAGTCTGCCACAGACTGCCTGCCACAGACTTGCTTAAAGGAGGGGAGCACTACCATAGCTCCATCTCTATACCCCCACCAGGAGGTCCCTGCTGCAATCCTAGTTTGAATGACGCTTTAAGCTGTAATTTGCATTAGATAACTCTTGCCCTGTGGGGCAGCCTAGATTTATAAAATATCCCTCAAATATACAGATTTTAGTATTTCTGTTCACATTCTTAAGAGGAGCTTATAGGCTAAATGAAATAGGCAGGCAACCGCTCCCCAAAAGGCCTGTCATTTGTTGCTCTGCTTATGTCTTTGTTTTGTCATTACTGACGTTAGAATCTTCTTAACGCAGTTGTTATTTTTCTGGGGAACTGAATCAACCACTTTTCCTCACATCCAGCTCCACAGTTAATTAAGAAATAGAAATACAGAATCTGGGCTGATCTCAGGCCCACACATGACAGGAAGTCTACATGATAGAAACTTCACATGGAAGATCCCACCTGCTTCATGTTCTGTCAAGCATAGAGAGTACAGAGGCGGAACGCACAGACTGCTAGCCTCCCGCAGTAGTAAAAGGACAGTGGAAGAGAACTTTCATTCTTTCAGTCAGATAGTTTTACATGAACTAAGGCAGAACATAGATACAGGGTGAAAAAGTTCTTCCTACAGTGATGACTAGAAAAGAATCACCAAACCTGATTCATGCAGTCAGTTGCCTGTATAGTGTCAGGCCCTGTACTAGATAGTTAAAATTTGAGGATAATATTTGATGGTGAGCAAAAAAAGAGACTATTCCTAAGGAGCCTGTAGCCTGTGAGACAATCACAAACAAAAATACTTATTTAGGATTAATGAGACCCTATGAGTACTCAGACTGCCACAGACTGCCTGCCACAGACTTGCTTAAAGGAGGGAAGTACTACCATAGCTCCAATAGTACTCAAATATTTACCCTAAAGAATAAATGACTGAGGAACAGGAAGCACTGCAGTTTCTAGTGCCATGTGCCTCCATCAACAGAACCTGTCTTGTGGAGTCACACTGAACTGAAAGATCACACACCAGCCACCCCTTGGAGAAAAAGTACCAGGTACTGTCTAGAGGTGAAGAATATAATTGTATCAATAGTGATATAAGAACAAAAACCCAAAAAAAGTACTACCCAGCAAGGTAAAATCAAGTTTGTTCCTAACCAGGCTGATCCTTGTTTATAGTCAGCTCTTCCATCCCATGTGATGGGCTTTCTGTACATACTACAGAACTGGAGATTGACCTTGTGAGGAGAAGCATCGAACAGGTTTTGATAATAACAAAGGAATTTACACGAGATAGTTTAGTATGACAATAGATTTCGGTCTTTTCCTCAGCCAAATATTGCTTTCTTATAAAAAGCATATTAGATCCAGTAAAATAACAGATTCTCAATTTGGACTTTATCGAATTAAAAGTTATTTTTCATTGTTTTGCCTTCCTTTTGAAAGATACTCCATCTGCTGACTTGAGAATGTGGTGAGGAACAATTCCAAAGTCTTGGCCACTGTGAATTAGGATTTCATACTGAGTGTGTGAATAGTGGCAACAAGTCCATTTTAGCCCAGTAAACAATCACAGTACTCCTCTGTGTTTCAGCCCTTATTTACACCCATCATTTTGTCCATCTTCCTTTGTCACCCATGGGATAGAACTGGGCCATAAGAAAATAAGGCCCATTTAGGATATAACAAGATCCAAAGTTGAGAGGAGGGAGAGGTTACAAAACGAACTTGTCCAGCTCCCTTTGCCATCCAAGACTGGTAACCTGGTGAGAATCAGGACCCTTCATCTGTTCACAAATATAGAGCTGAGCTGTCAGTTTTGGTGAGATACTGCTCAGAGGTGGGTGTTTTAGCTCCAGGATCCTTCCCTGTTGCCCTAGTCTCAGAGGATCTCATTAATCCTAAATAAGTATGTTTTGTCTGTGATTGTTTCATCTTATTGTTTTACCCAGTAAGGGAAACAAATGACTGTGTAGGGCCCAAAGCAGGTTCGGTGAGTTCTGATCTGACTTTTGATGTCTTCTTGCCAATGTCCCTTTATTTGTGATCAGGTTATGAGAGGTACAATGCCATGCGAGCAGACCCAGCCCTCTGCTTCCTGGAGAAAGTTGGAATGCCAGATGAGAAATCCCTTTCAGCAGAACAGAGCAGTACAGATGGGACATCAGACATTCCTGAAAGGTGAGAATCATCCTAAACTGACCGTGACCTTTGAGCCTTTCTGCATATATTCAGTCTTTGTCCCTCAGTGACTGTCCTCTCCTTTAAACCTCGCTGCACCACAGCTTCCACCCCAGATTGCTACTTTGGGTCTAACCTGTTATACCTCAGATGTACAAACTCTTTGAGCCAAATACTAGTTGTGTCTGTTGTGGGTCCCAAACTACCCATGATTTTGTCCAGCTTGTTAACCAGGCTCACCTCTCATCTGGTCAGGTGGTTCCCATGGACAAATTCAGATCTCTCATACCTGGCAGAAAGCTAACAAGAGGCACAGCAAGTACAGCCTTCTTGATCTTGAAGTTCCTCATCAGAAATGCCAATATTATTTATGGATTGCACTGTCCATGAGTGGGGTACCTTTAGGAACCATTGCTTGATGCCTGTGGCATTTCAGTAGGTCATGTGCAAACACTTACGTTTCCTTTGGCTGAGTTTTATTTACTGGTGGCTTGACCCCAAAATCTAAAAAGTCAGCCAGTATGTTGCACATGCTAGTACTCCCAGCACTCCAGAAGGCTGAGGCAGGAGGCTCTCAAATTCAAGCCAAATCACTTAGTGACTTAATGAGACGCTGTCAGAAAAATTTTAAAGGGCTGTGGCTATAGTTCAGTGTGAAGGCACTGGGTTCAGTGCCCAGTAAATCCTTCCCCTCAAAAAAAGAAATCTCAGGAAAAATAATATGGCTATATTCTTCTATGGAAATACATATTTTTGGAAAGCTGAACATTTATCACTTAGCTTGTGTTTACTAAGACTTTGACCTAATTGTCTTCTTAACAGTAGCAAATACTACACATTGCCAAGGGCTATGATCAGGCCTGGCTGTGAGAGCTTGGCACTGCCAAGAGCCCCTAACCATCTGCTCAGCCCAAGAAAAGTGTGACATGACTTTTTCAACTGTCCTAATCCATAGTCAGCATCAGTTGTCATAATGTTCTTTGCCCCCAATCATTTCCTATGGACAGATAATAAAGCGCATTTTGGTAGGTACTAATAAAAGCCCAAATGCCTGGTGATCCTGTTGTCAGACTCACTGGTTGGTTCAGGGAAATCACTCCCTGGCTAATGTACCTGAATGCGGCATGAAGTTTGTGTTTTTGTGGGATAGCTGTCTTTGTCGTTAAACATGAAGGTAGGGGATTTCCTCCTTCTAGGACCTGACCTCAAGGACAAGTGCGTTTGGGACAGGCATGTTTCCAAGTCAGTTTTAAAAGGAAAATAAGAAACTGGCATCAGCAATCGTTTAGCTTATGAGAAAGACGTTAGGTAGCTAACCTAGCTACAAGTGTTTGATGACAAAGAAAGCAGAATGCCTTTCCTTCTCAGCAACAGAACAGCAATCTGCCAGATGTATATGATTTTCAAATTAGAAGAGTCAGCCTTCTGTTGTGTTGGGTTGGTGCATCAGGCCCCCAATGCAGGCTTCGGTCTACATTTTATTCTTTTATCAGAGCTGTGGGTGCAGGCAGCTCTCGATGAGCAGTGATGGCCTTTTTTATGATGGTATCATCACTAAATAGCCAGCTTCAGAGCGTGCCTGGGTAGATTCTGAGGCTCCAGCCTCATCATGCCGTCTCGTTTGATTTGAGGTCATTCCCCACAGAAATGATACCATTTTTCTATCATATTGTATCTTACTGGATTTTATTATGTGTGATAGTATAAACAAATTGTTCATTCTGTTATTTGGTTCTGAATGCCCTGTAATACTTTCATTCTCTGGAATGGTTTTATACTATTTTGTTATGTTTGATACTATTGTATATGAAGGTATGCTCAACTATTTCGAAGAAAGAGGCATTATGGTAGTTACTGTTAATTATGGGTTCTCTTATGGTGAAATACTGTGTTGCTTACATTGTTCTGATCTGCTTTGTTATGTCCTCTTTTGTCTTAATCTCTTTAAAAGAAATGATGATACCATTTGGTGATAGTTTGTGCATTTTTAGTGTCTCTTGAGTGCTCTTAAAAGGAAAGGGAAAACTAAACATTTTGAGTGCCTGTGGAGGAATTCTCTTTAGTTCCCTTTAGTTACTGATTTGGAAATTCTCTCATAAGCATGATGGTGACAAAATAACTTCTGGGTGGTATGTGGTTACTTTTATTTAGAGGCACCACGGATAAAGAAGACAATGCTGAAGACAAATTAGATGGCCTCCAGAAACAAATGGTGAGTCAGATGTGCTGTTATTGGTAATCTACCCTATCTTGCATTATCATCGTCTTGGTAATAGAGGTCTTGGGAAACTTTGTTGCATTGCTGCAGTTGTATGGTCTTTCCACCAGGATTTTATTATGGAAATTTTAAACATACAGACTTCATTTCATTTTTGTTCTTTTATTTTCAGATAGCTGTAGATTTTAGATGAAATTGTAAAATATAATACAAAGATATCCTAGGACCCTGTATCCAGTTTACCTCCATAGTAACATATTGCAAAATTCTAGTACAACACAGATGCCAACATCCATAGATGAGACATTTCCACAACCACAAAGATCATGAATTGCTGTCTTACAACCACATCTACTTCTCTTTCACTTTTGCCCCTTAGTCATTGATAACCATTAATCCCATTTCTGTAATTTTATTTTAAGGACTATTCTGTAAATGGAGTCATAGAGTATGTAAGCTATAAGTATTGGGTTTTGTTTTGCTCAATGTAATTTCCTTAAGTTCCACTTGGGTTGTTTTCTGTACCAACCATAGTTCATTCCTTCTTATTGCTGAGTAATGTGTATGATGATAGATGAACTGTAGTGTAACTGTTCTTCCATTTAAAAATGTATGGGTTGTTTCCAGTTTTATTTTCTGTTGGTTGGGTGGGGGTTTTTGTTTTTTGTTTTGGATTGTTTGTTTTTTGGCTTCTTGAAACAGGGTCTTGAACTCATTATGTAACTAAGGGTGGCCTTGAATTCACAGCAGTCCTCCTGCCTCAAGTTTCAGATTTTCATCTAAAAATAAGGCCTTTATAAACATTTACAGACACATTTTTATAAATTCTCATTTCTGTAGGACAAATGCTCAGGAACATAATTGCTGGGTTATACGGTAGTTATGTGTTTTAATTTTTTTAAGAGAATGAGGCAGCAGTTCAAGTTTTAAGAGAATGAGATTGCAAGTTCAAGACCAGTCTGGGCTTGCAAGTCTCTGGCTCAAAATTTCGAGAAGTGAGGCGGGGTGCCTTAGTGCAAAGGTCCTAAATTCAATCACCTGTACCAAAAAGAAAGAGACTATTTCAGAGTACTGTACTATTTTACATTCCTCTATGTCCTCTGTCTTCACCAGCATTTAGCGTAGTATATGTTACTTGAACCATTCTAATGGGTGTGCAGTGACACCTTGTCATGGTTTCCATTTGTGTTTCACAAATATCTGATGATTTTTGAACATTGTTCTATATGCTTAATGCCATCTTAATTCTCTTAAGCAAAACATTTCTGCATGTCCTTTGTCCATATTCTGATTTGACCATTTCTTTGTTTTACTTTTGATAGTTTAGCAAATTCTTTATATGTTCTAGATCCTAGTCTTTTGTCAAATAGATGTTTTATAAATATTTTCTCTGCTCTGTGATTTATCTCATTTTATCTTACATTGTCCTCAGAGCACAAGCTTTTAATTTTATGAAGTCAGCTTATATCAATTTTTGCATTTATGGGTCTGTCTTGGGGTTTAAGTTTGTGATCTACTTTAATTTTCATTTAAGTGTACAGAATTAGATGAAAATTCTTTTGTGCTTTTTTTTAACCCTATTGATGTCCTATAGCTCAAGAACCCTTTTTTCCCCTCTCCATTGAGTTACTTGTAAGCCTTTGTCAAAAAATCAATTAGGAATATTTGTGTGATTATTTCCAGGTTTTCTGTTTTTCATTGATTTGTTTGTCTGTCAGCAGCAGAGTCTGGATCTTTGTAACTATATTGTAAAATGGAGCAGACTAATTCTTCTGACTATATTCTTTTTCAAAATTGTTTTAGCTTTTCTTATTCCTTTGTCTTTCTATGTAAATTTTAGAATTAAATTACCTATATCTACAGAAATTTTTGCTGGATTATGGTAGGGATTATATTAAGCCCTTATCACTCAGAACAATTGACATCTTTATCATGTTGAGTTTTTACTATGTTGAATCTTACTATATATTTCCCCATTTCGATCTTTTTAAAATTTCTTTCATCAACATTTTATAGCTTTCAGCAAGCCAAGTCCTATACATGTTTGTTAGATTATACATCAATATTGCATTTCTTTGGAGTAATTGTAATTGTTATTGTGTTTTTAACTTCAGTGTGTACTTGTTCATTACTAATTACATAAATATGAATGATATTTTATGTTTATTCTTGTGTCCTGTAACATTGCTAGACTCATTGTCAGTTCTAGGAGCTTTTTTCATGAGTTTGTTGGGGTTTTTCTTGCTAACAATCATGTCATCAGCAAATAGGGACAATTTTGTTTCTTTCTTTTTAACTAGTATAACTTTCACTTCTTTTTTCTTGCCTCATTGCACTGTCTAAAACTAACACTGTTGAATGAGAGCAGTGAAGCAGACATCCTTGCCTTGTCTTTCATAGTAAAAGAAATTTGTCTTTCAGTATTAAGTGTAATACTAACTATGAGATTTTTTTTTTTTTATTGCTGTACTTTTTGAGACAGAGTCTTGCTATTGTAGTTTAGGCTACACTGCATTCCCTGGGTAGCCTATGTAGTTTAGGCTGGACTGAACTCCCTGGGTAGCCTACAGTTGCCTCAAACTTTTGGTGACCCACGTGCCTCAGCCTCCTGAGTACTAGGTGTACTGGCGTGCTCCTCCGTGTCCTGCAAACTAGAAGTTTTATAGATGTGTATGAAAGATGAGAGCATTCACCTGTATTCTGGGTTTTCTGAATTTTTATTATGAATAAGTGTTGAATTTTGTCTTATGTAATTTTTGCATTAATTGATATGGTGATGTGAATTTTTTTTTCTTTCTTAGATCACTAATATGATATATTTTTGTTTTTGTTTTTTGGTACCAGGGATCAAACTCACAATCTCACACTTGCCAGGCAGGCACTTATACCACTGAGCTAAATCCCTGGCCCCATTAATATGATATGTTACATGAATTTTGAAAATTGAACCAGCAGCCTTCCATCATTAGCATAAACTCCACTGAATTATAGTATATCATTCTTTTTATGTTTTTATTAAAAGTATCCATGAGGAATATTGGTATGTGTCTATATTCATGAGGGGTCTTGGTCTAGTTTTCATATCAGAGTAACGTAAGTTTCATAAAATTATGTTCCCTTCTCTTCTATTTTCTAATAGAAATTCTCTGGAATTAGCATTAGTTCTTTAAACATGTGGTAAAGTTTTCCTTTCATACCATCTGGGCCTGGAAATATCTTTTAGGGAAGTTTTTAAATTATGAATTTCATTATCTATGTTATATTGGGTTTTGAGAGTTCGTATTTCAAGGATTTGGTCTGTGTCATCTACATTTTCAAATTTATATGTGTTGAGTTGTTCATAGCATTTCCATATTATTCTTTTAATAGTAGAATTGGCAAGCTTTGTAGTGCTTTACTGTTTCATTCCTCATTCTGATGGTGTCTTTTTCTTTGTCTGCCTTATCTTTTTTAAAGAACAAGTTTTTTGTCTCATTGATTTTTCTCTATTTTTCTGAATTTTGTTTTCTGGTGGTTTTGCAGAGAGTTTGTTTGTTTTTGTGTTTGGTACTGGGTATTGAACCCAGGACCTTCTCACTGAGCTATGTCTACAGCCCTATTTCAGTGTTTTGGTTTGCTCTGGATTGCTTCAGTTTTTTGAGGCAGAACCTGGTATGTTGGTCAGGCTAGCCTTGAACTCTATGTAGCCCAGACTGTGGCAATCATTTTGCCTCAGTCTCTGACTACTGGGATGTAGGCATGTGCCACAATGCTCTTTTTAAATTTTTTAAGACATGACTTCACTCAAATTGCTAAATTGGCCAAGCTGAGCTTGAACTTGCAATCAATCCTGCTTCAGCCTCTCAAGGTGCTAAAATTATAGATGTGCACTATTACACCTGATTTATCACTGTTTTTAAATTACAGTTTTCCTCTTTCTTCTGATTTCTTTGGTTTTATTTTCTTCATCTTTTCCTAGATTTTTTTAAATCATACTAGGGATTGAATTCACAGCCTCATGAAACTAGGCAAGTGCTTCAACACTTGGAGCTACAAACCCAACCCTATTTTAAAATTTTATTTTGAGCCAGTGTTTCACAAAATTGCCCAAATAGTCCTCTTATCCTCTTAAGAAGCTGGAATTACGGGCATCCTCTCCTGGGTCTTTTCTTTAAAAGATTATTCATTTGAAATGTTTCCATTTGTCTAATGTATATATTTAGTGTTATAAATTTTACTCAGCATTGCTTTATAAATTCTGGTATCTTGTACTTTCAAATTTCATTCAGTTTAATGTATTTTAGAAAAATATCTCTTCAGATGTACTCTTGACCTTTGGGTTCTTTAGATAGTTATCATTTAATTAAGGGTTTGGAAATTTCCTGTTACCTGGTATTCACCTCCATTGATCCCATTCTGAGCAGATGTCACAAACTCTAGGATTTTAATTATTCTAGATATCTTATGGTTTGTTTATGGTCTAGAATGTATATATGTTGTATGATAAATATGGTGACTATTTGAATTTTATTACAGTAGAAAATATTGCTACTGGTCTTTCCCAAAATACTCTTCATTTCTTCAAGCACATTTGTCCCACCTTGCTACTTCCGGAGGCAATTCTGAAAGTCCTCTTTGTTTTCCTTGATTACAGTATGGTGGCTGCCTCAGTGCTCTTAATCAATTCAAAACATTTATCTTTTGTGGTCATTTTTATTTTGATTAAGAGCCAGAAATCTCTAGATCAGTGTTGCAGATCCAGCGAGTAAGGTTGAAGAAGAAATACTGTTTTTGTTGGATGACAGCAGCCATAAGATTCATTGTAGTTTTTAAATACACTTTGTAAAGACATGAAAGAGGGCTTCCAGAACTGCTTCAGAAAATGCCAAATATGTTCAAAGCAAGGGGGAATGTTTTGAGGGAGATTAATGGTAACGTGTCTTTTATTGTAATTTTTTTTAATTTAAACACTCATTATACTTTTGATCACCCTTTATAACTTAGTATGTGTTCCA